GGCCAACCGCCAACAATCCAGTGGAGATCTAGAAGGAAAACTCTGAGGGATGTTGGATGTCCCCAATAACCTTGACTCGCCGCCTGGATGAGGTGGAATCTACTCTAGCTCTGTGGGATAAGGATCTTCATGTGGTGCTGGAGGAGATGCGAGGGGAGGTAGACAATCTTCGTTGAGAAGTTTCCAAACTCTGGGATGGTGCTTTCGTGATGAGGGCTCATTCTGAGACCGACCGAGCGAACCACTTTAAGCCCGACGATCAAATATTGTATAGGAGCTAGTTAGGAAGGGTTTGGTCCTAGTTGAGACGGCTGAGGACCAGTTTGTAAAATACCTCCTGTCAGAATAGAATCCAAATATAATTATCTTTTCATTAAAATAAATAAAATATTTTATTTTCTATCTGTCTCAATTCTTGTGCTGATTCGATGTTTTCGCTCGAAATTCTTGCACAGCATTTACATTGTAGCTAGGTCCCTATAAATAAGATTTGAGGGGTTCATTTGTATGTTTGTTGTCTTTTCTCTCAGAGTTTTGTCACTCAATTTTATCCTTTCACTTGACTTTTTTTGTTTGTTTTCTGATGGCTCTAAAACGAACTCCCCTGACATTTGGTCTGGTAGCTGCGACCAAACGGTCAATATTGTCTCCATTTGAGGTTGCTTTCATGGCGGAGGCCTTCATCTTCGAACTGGCCATCAAATTCAGAGTTGTTTGGCCGGATGAGAGGGTGACTGACAAATTTGGGGAAGACTTAGTGGTCTGCCGAGACTATTACGATATGAACTATGACTAACCTTATGCAGAAGCTTAGAGTTATTTTTAATCGATACGGGATCATTCCAGCTCAAATCAAGCCAATCTCGATCATGACGATAATGACCTACGTTATTTTCTGTCGATAGAAGTATATCCCATCGTCAACAAATTTATTCAATCAATGTCTTATTTCTGTGTAGAGTCGAACAGATACGTTCGATTTGGGACCGTCGGTCAATTCCAATTTTCTGGCTTGGAAGATAAAGTTAAGGATTGGAATTATAGGTTTTTCATTGCTTCGTAGTCTGAGAGCAAGAGCATCAGGACCATACTAACCAGCAATGCCTTCAAGAAGAAGAACGATACAAACTATTCTCGAATTAAGGGGCTAATATTGATGGACAACTTCTCTGAATTTCCCAGTACGACTACGAATTGGATCTTGTTCCTGGGATTTTTAATTGGATGATAGCAAACTAGTGGGTCGCCTTTGACACTATAGAGGTCAAGCAGGAAAAAGAAGTCGTTGCACAGGTGGCCCTGAAGAAGGTCAAGGCTGAGGCTAAGGCTGAGGCCAAGACGAAAGTAGCTTCGGGGCAGGTAAGTGGCGGAGACTAGAGGAAGACCGACTGAGGCCCATGGCGATGTAGTTGCCTCAATAGGTGAGGACTTTCTCTACTATGTTTCTACGACCACAGTGGTGATCTAGTAAATTTTGATTGGTGAACTGAACACATCATTGCAAAACAGCATTCTGCTCATACTAACTTTGATACATATCTCTTAGATGCAACTCATTCATACCGACGAGAATCTGGGGAGCCATCTAGCTGCCCCGAAGAGAGTGGTACTAAGGAAAAATCTTCCGAGGAAGCGAAGAGAGCGCAATCGGCTTCACCTCGCCACAATCTTTCGTTCATTGGTTTTTCTGCTAGGAGCAAGGCAAATCAGTTTGCCTCTACTACCCAGACCGAGTTTGAAACAGATCCGAAGGCAATGTTTCCAGATAAAGTGCAACATCATGTGAGGAAGGAGTCGGATGCTCAGCTGACTCCTCCACCCCCTTTTTCATACTAAAAGAAAAGGAAGGGTTCCCAGGTTAGATGGGTTCCCAGGTTAGATGGGTTCCCAGGTTAGATGGGTTCCCAGGTTAGATGGGTTCCCAGGTTAGATGGGTTCCCAGGTTAGATGGGTTCCCAGGTTAGATGGGTTCCCAGGTTAGATGGGTTCCCTTTCAGAGTCAGAAGGACCAAAATATGGAATTCTCCTGATGGTTGGTACGTAGCCATCGACCGAGCGGTGGGTTGTGGTATAGCGGTTCGTCGTCTGCTGAAGTCTACCCTTCTGCCACTGTGGAGGTGATCTGGTCACATGCATTTGCTAAATCTCTCTGGGCGCTTGAGCAACCCAAAATGTACAAGAAGCTCGATCGATACCAATTGAAGACGTGGGAGGCTTCCCATCTTCAGTCGATGGCACTGGATCGGGCCGAGATGAAATGGGTTGCTGCTGCAAAAAGGGTTGAGACCTCGTCTAGGCTTGCTAAAAGTCTGAGAACAAGGCCATGATAGCCGAGAAGAAACTGGCAGGGCTGAGGAGGTCGCTACTTTTTCAGATGTCCTGTCGATTGTCGAGCAAGAGAATCGAGAGCTGAAAGAATAGATTCATTTCCAGCTCAGGACAGGAAAAGATTCTAAATTAGCAACTTCTCGTCGGGAGCATCATAGCAATTGACCAATTCATTCAGTCGAGCCTAATCGACCCGAAATTTGTTTATTTTGACAAATTTGTTATTCTCTATACCAATTTTGAGGGGTCTTCTGAGGACGGCTCAGATGCCAAAGATGAAGGAGGGTCTTCCAATTGGCTTCCTGATATTTAGAGAGTCTTCTGAGGACGGCTCAGATGCCAAAGATGGAGGGTCTTCCAATTGGCTTCCTGATATTTAGAGATTTTTTTCTAGAAGAAATCTTTACAAAACTTATATAAATGAAATCTTGTGTAACATAGAATACTTGTATATTTCTTTAGTTTGAAGTGAATGAAATCTTACGGTCGTTTTACATACATTTTATTGTTTTACCTTTAGTGTATTGTTTCTTGAGATAACTACTTGGTGATGAGTGTGTGTTTGGTGGGTTACTCGAACCTTAGGAAAGATCGTCTGTCGTTTTTTGATTTGTTATGGCCCAGTATAAGTCTTACACTGTTTGTCCCATTTCGCTTTGGTCTGATTTTTTGTCTCGGTTGCCCCACACCTTTCGCCATGACTAAAGCAAATCTTGCGCTGCCTTCACGAGGGTAACAGTTGAGACTAGCTACAGGGATGATTCATGTCTCGTCATTCGTGGAGCTTGTCATTATTGGGCAAAGAAATGCTTCCAGAGTTTTATCCACATTGAGCTTTGAGATTGGTTTTTTTTATGCTTAGCGTCGGGGGTCGGATTTGTTGATACGACGCCAATTCTACGTTTTTAATGTCGTTGTCATTAGCCTTTTTTATGATTTTATAGTCTGGCTTGTGTCTTACCCTTTTTAAGGTCTCAGTACTAGATCAGATTGTCGCCTCGGTCAGGCCTAACCTTTCACCAGGACTTAGGTCCATCATGTCACTGATTTTGCAGAGGTAATCGCCGAGAATCATTACTGATGTAATTTACGTATTAATATTTGCAAAGCTTGTAACTATTGGGCAAAGAACCACCCCTAGAGTTTTACCCGATTCAAGCTCCCTAGAATAAGATTTTTTATGTGGCATCAATGTGGACCATTCTGCAGACTAGACCTCTTCAAGATTGTTGTTGGCGTGGCTTCCTGGATTCAAGTTCCCCTAGTGTCAATTGGACTTGGAAAGATAATAGGGAAATTTGTTATAGCATCAGAAAAGTATTTGAATTAATACTCCCTTTATCCACTGAGTAGTGTGCCAGCCACCGAGATTTGACCGAGCGATGCGTAAGTACAGTCGGCCAGCTCATTTCGACTGTTAAGAGCAATCATTCGTTTTGTGGTATTGTATACTAGCCAAAGCCTTTAGGAAGATGATGAAAACGGTATTTGTGGCTTCAGATCTATTGTTACATGAATTCCTAAGCATGCTCTCTATTTAAGAGTGTCTTCGAGATACATTTCTCCTCGTTTGAGTCATTTCCCTTCTTGCTAATAGCATGCTCCAGGCTCATCACACCATTTAGGATGTTGAATCCAAACTTATCATGGGAGACATGCCCAAGGATCGAAGGGATAGGAATCTTGCGGGAGAAGTGGAGAGAGAAAAAACGAAATAAAATAACACATATAGACTTGTCCTGTAAGGACGAATTTGGGTATTTTTGGGCTCTGCAACATATTTTATATATTAAAAATAAGGGGTTACAAGAGAGAAGAAAAGAGAGTTCTCCCTCTAGAGTATAAGTCTAGAAATAAGAGCCGAACAGCTGCTTCTACATACTATGAGCCCCATATTTATAAAAGATAAAGGGCCAAAAAAATGAAAAATTATATATCTGCTCCTACTTTAATAGAGTTGTTATAGGATATTATCTTTTATCATGTCTTTCTGTATGTATAATTGATTTGAGTATCATTTGATTTACCTGGATCTTCTGGTCGGCATGTCCTTGAGTTGGTTGACCAAGCTACAGTCGGTCGGATATTTTGCCTTGATGTTAATCGGCTTTTGCTTTGGGAAGTCAATCGGCTTTGAGAGAGGTTGTTGGTCGGCCTTAGGGTGGCTAGTCGATGTATTTGTTTCTTGGTTATTTTTGGAGATCTTGAGGCTTTTTAGAGGATAGTCCTTTGTTTGATCGTTGGCATGAATATCTCTCTTGCTTGCCCGGGTGGTCATTCGGTCGTTGGACTTCATTTGATTGGTTGTCAACCCCTCATTCGAATGGTTGTCGGTCGGTTGGCAGTTCTTCAAAAGGTCAACTTTATGAGTACTTGTTTCTTTCGTCAGAGGAACGATTCTCATTTTATTTCTTTTAATAAGAATTTGTGCAAACTAATTTTGGTTGTACACCACTGTACCAATGAATGTGCAATAATTTAATTATAGTACCGAATAATTTAGCTATATTTGTTTAATAATTTAATTAGATTTTGTGATACTATATGAAGTGCAAAATCAATGACGAACACAACAAAAATGATACATCTCGACACAAAAGGTAAAAGATACCCTGTTAGAATTTTTTCCTAACCCAATTCCTCTAAGAGCGTAAGAAAGAGAGCGTCTGTACTTGGGGGGCCTTCTCGACGAGCTCCTGGACATAATTTTCGCCGAAGACACGATGACCGGCTTCGTAGGCCTGGTGGATGACAGAAACAGACTTCGTCTTGCTCACAGCCACGATCCTCACCTGCTCCCTTGATCGGCCAGATCTCTCTGCCGCCATGTGCCCTCTGGAAAGCACCGAGCGGAGTGCGGTTGCAGCCGCACTCTCCATGGCAGGACAGGCCATGTCCGACTAATCGCCACAGAGCTTTTGGCCTCCTCTCTCCCGACGCGCCTTTCAGCCTGATGGCTAATGCCCTCGTTTTCGGTTAAGCGTTATAAGGGAGGGAAAAAGGCTGTTAAAAATAAAGAAAATAAAGAAAATATATATACTAAGATTTATACTTCCGCATTACAACTCCACTTAAGAAAGAAATAAAGATGAAACAAAGTTAAATACAATCCAAAAATACATATGTACAAACAAAATGTATATCCAACAAATGAAGTATATCTCATATGAACATATATAAAAATTGAAACAAACGTAGCGCAAGTTGCTAAGCCAAAAATAAACGTTTTGAATAGCTAAATTATGTTCATGCAAGTTATATGTGAATTAGTAGTATTCGGATGGTATTAAGATGATGTTCATTTGTAATAATGGAGTAGTATTTGGGTGATATTTACCACCAAAATATCATCAATCCACACACGCGAATGTTGCACATAATATTCGCTTTTCGTTGTGGGACAATTTGTACATTTGACTTGGGTCATATATTTTGGGCAAATATCTAATTCTATTATTATTTGAAATATCTCAATATCACTTGGGATGAAAAAAAAAATTTTAATTTAGTTATATCCTCTTTGGAATATTAACATCATGTTATATTTTTATTAAAAAATATCTCAATATCACTTGGGATGAAATTTTTTTTAAAATTTAGTTATATCCTCTTTGGAATATTAACATCATAGCTCTCAAAATATAAAGAACACAATTAATCCTTGTTTCCTACATTTAAAATCTAACATCCACCATAAATTTTGCTAATTTCGATAAACCTTTTTCCTTTTACAACATTGAAATATCACAATATTTTAATTAAATGAAATGGTAGTTTCGTTCAACATCCCTAACTATGAGGTTAGTTTTTTAATGAATAAATAGCATTACACATAGAATTGAGTTCTTATTTTTTATGTTGATGAGTATTTGTGAATATTGAATTTGTTTTTTATGAAGTTTAGTCATAAATTCAAATATTTTTTGTATGTAAAAGGTTAAAATTGGGTTGGAGCAAATAAGATTCGCAACATAACATTTAGGACTTAATTGAATCTTATTTGAATTGAATTCAAACCAAACTTCAATTATGTTCATCAAAATGAATTAATGTATTGTCATCTTACACATTCAAACAAAATTTCAAAATAGTTATAACCAAAATTATGAATATGCATTTAGGCATTCTTTTGGAAGAAAGGTGAAGTGATAGCTATGAGTATACGATATTGTGGAATCAACAATAGTTACTTTAATATGTTATTAAGATATCTTTCTAAATTATTTTATAAAAAATTTGTTAAATAAACAATGAGAAAATGTCTTAACAAAATATAAACTCAAATTTGACCTACAACCTTCAAAGAAATTTTATTAATATATTATAAACCCTAATTACAAATTATCTTCGCTGCATTTTAGAGAATGATGAACTTTAGTTAAAAAGAGTTTTTTTTTTTAATGTGATATATATGCATTAAATAAGGTTAATTGTGCACTTAAAATTTCTTTAAAATATATTTTTAGATGTGAATGCCAACTAAATTTTTGCTATACATTTTATAAAACATTTGTGTGAGGGCTATAGTTTAAAATGTTTAAAAATTTATAAGAACTTAATGATGTAAACAAAATTATTTGTATATTTTCATAAATATCCATAACACATTTTCTTACATAAAATTGAAAAAGCACTATAAAATCTTCTGAATCAAGTCATTTCACTTTTTCCTCAATAGAAGAGAAAGCAAGGGAGAGAGAGTAAGAAGAAGTGAACTTTAAGAGATCTAGATGAAACTTCTTTTTTGATATGGTAGTTGGGAAAGTTTATTGTTTTAAATTACACTGCGTTTATCCTGCCTCAAATTTCAATAATTTTTCTCTTTTTAGTATATTCAAAAATTTTATTTGTAGAAAACCTGTAAGGATTGTGATATCCAAGTACTTTGAAAATTTTCACAATAAAACTATTTGTATGTTATTATACTAACTATTCTATATATATTGGTATGATTATATTGAATTTTTTATATGGTATGATTATATTGAATTTTTTAAAATTTTCATTTTTATTCTATATATATTCTATATAACAGTACTTTGAATTTTCTTAATTTTTAGGTCAAATTCTTATTTTTGAGTTACACAACTTTTTTTTCCAAAATATGATTAAGAGTGTTTATTATAATGTGGTGGCCAAAGAGAAATTACATGCCTATAGTAATTTTTTATAATGATTTGTACATGAATATATTGTTGCATATTATGAATTTAACTATCTATATACATCGTGATTGTTAAGTTGAGATAGGTGTTGAATATTACGCCACTTACAAAATATGTTATAAATTTTTGTGGAATGTATATGTGCATGAAAGAGTGGTTACTATGATTTAGATTAACAAAGATATAATATCTTATGCAAGAAGGCAGGTTAATGGCTTTCCTCTAAATGGGTTAATTATTGAAATTTATTTTACATTAGGAATTATAAGTGAAGAATGTGATATGATATTAGAATCACAGACTAGGGGTGATGTCTCATATGTATTAAACCACCGTACCAATCTTACTGATATGATATAATATAACATTGTATGTTACTATGATCGGTATAGGGAAATTATCAAATATAATTAGCTAGAGCACCCTAACATGTGTGTGTGTGTGTGTGTGTGTGTGTTTATTCAAAGGATGAACCTCAACTAAATCAACAACGATATTTCAAATGATGTCGACTGATGAGTCTGACATAGGTTTAGGACTGGTATCCACCAATAGTCTTCTTTTATTGTCTTGTGTTTTTGCTCAATTGGTCTGACCAAATTTTAGGTCGGTGCTTTATTTTTGTATTTTTCTTGGATTATTGATAGGCTCATTAAGGACTATATTTCTACTCAAACTAAATAACTTTAACTTAAAATTTTCAAAATTAAATGAAAATCATAACTAAGACAAAATTGTGTTAGATATTACATTCACAACCTTAGAAAATATTATGCATATAAAATAAAGAAATTGATATTATATAAAATTGAGTAAAAACTTTGTGATTTATGAATAGCCACGAAAATATCACTTTAAGCATGCACATTACATATTACCTCTATTCCTTATTTTTCAAGCCCTCACTCACTGAACAAAAAGGGATGGTTTGTTTTGTGAGGATCACTGCCTTACAAAGTGAGCCTTCCCTTACATACCATTTGGTCTTATAAATGAATCTTCTAAATATTCATCATCAAGGACACATAACCCATTGTACATCTTGCTATGATCACTTAGCAATAAGAATTAATAAGAAAATAATAAAAAATAATTGAGTATGATGAGCTATAAAATGAAAATTTTTAAATTACAAAAAGATACTCACATTAGTCTTAGGGCATTATGCATACTAGACATAGTTAGACAACTTGATTTTATGATCAAGTTGTAAGATCTACTTTTCCTATAAATAATAGTCTTGAACTCATTAGTACTGGTCATGAGTGAGCTTACTAATAGAGATCAGATTGCAATCCAAAGTAGGAACATGAAGCACAAAAGTGAGGAATAAATCTGGAGAGATGCAGACAGAACCAAGACCTATGTTTATGTGGTTTAGATGATAGCCCTTTCTATATAGGGTTTTAAGTTTATTGCATTTTTTTTTTGTTGTGTTCCCTTCTTCCATTAGACTAGGGTTCTAGGGTTTTACTCATTTCAATAAATCTCATTTCAATCTTATGATTCTGAGATTATGTCGAAATAAAAACTAATAACTTATTCAAAATTTGATGCCTCGCTTTACTTGTGATGATGTACTTTCTATCTATTAATTATTCATCTTCCTTTGACTTTATAGATGTAAAAATTTTTCTAAGTTCCCTGTGTATCGAGGTGAAGAGTTGGCATATTTTTATGATGAGAAGACTTCGAGGCCACCTTTATGTACTGAATCATTTGATTTCCATAATAGAAGATAGTTATATATAGAACATTCATTAAAATTGAAAAATCATTGCATAAAAAAAAAGATAATTAGTCCTGAAATCTTTTGATGGTGAACAAAGGATATCACCTTAGTAATATCATATATTAAATTTCTTAAGGTTGTCTTCATTCTAGGTCTTGGGGATTGTTTTGTGGAGTTGTGCTAATAGCTTGTAAGCTTTAGCTCCAACCTATTCATTGATGATACAGGTTCTAGTTTTTAATGGGTCCAAAATACTGAGTGATTGGTCATGAGTGACAACATCGACCTTCTTTAGCGCTAAATTGCAAGGTTTGAATTATTTCTCTTTAACCCTTGCATCATAATATTTTCATTCTCCTTATTATTTATTACTAATTTATATATGATAGCTTTCAGAGCTCTTTTAGTAGATCTAGCATGACATTCAATGTTTTATCATTCACATTCTACCAGTCCACTAATTTGTTTCTTAAAAAATAATGGTGTGAGAAGGCTCTGGATAAAAATGTCATATTATAGAGGCAGTACTGCTTCAATTATGTGGGAAGAGGTTGGTGCAGTTGTGGTTGATGAAGTGGTTCAAAGTGACTAATACACAAAAAATATATGTTCTTTTAGACCCATATTTTATACTCATTTTTGATGATATTGCACTTTAAAGGAAGGTGTGTTTTATTGCAGGTTATTGATTTTTAGGACTGGAAGCAAAAAGAAAACAAAAAGGAGGAATTTGGAGTCAAAATAACATTTTTGAAGAAATACTCAATGCTGACGGCGCCAGGAGCAGTGCCGACAGAGCCATTTAACAGAGAGTGACGGGCCACTAGCACCGATGGTGCCAGAATTGGCGTCAACGAGGCCAATATCGGTACAAAACCTATTTCTAGAAGATTCGACAAATTTGGACGTTTTTTAAAGTTTTTAGCCTCTCATATTGGAAAACTAACATTAAGCTCTATTAGACTCTATTTAGAGCGAAAATTGATCAGAAAAGACCCCCTTTGATCGCTTTCCACTCTCTTCCACACTATTCTACATTTCCTACAACCACTTAGAGTCCATTAGTCATTTATTTATGTAGAG